AATGAAAAGTGAAAATAGGGATGAAAACGCAAAAAAATTGAAGCGTAGAAATATTTTCCACAAGAAGTGTCAAATGTAGGGATTTTTTTGCCATTAGACCTTATTAAAATATTAAAAAAAGACTATCTCTTTCTTCTCTTCTTCTCTAAATGGGACTGCCACATTAGAAGTGAAAAAACTTCGACTAACCATCGCCCAGACCGTCGAACTTCCATACCGCTGAACCATCTGTTGATATTTTAAGATCATGAAGAGAGGCGCCCTAGTGGGTATAGTCGATTGGTGTGTTGGAAATGACATGAGTCTCTCCGAAATAGGTGATGCTGTCAGTATTTACATTTGCAAGTTGGGTATTTTGACCTGCAATTCCTAAGAAATCTATTGGCATGAATGTTTCAATATTGGGTGTTGAGTGGTATGTGAAGAAGGAAGTGAGAACTTTTCGGTGGTATGGTAGTCCAGCAGTTTGGATGGTGGTATGCTGGAGTTATTTAACTTCTAAGGTGGTTGGCCAATTTGGAGAAGAAGAGGAGAGAGAGAGGGAGAGAGAGAAAGAGTTTTTGTTATTTTTAATATTTTAGTAAGGCCTAATAGCAAAAAAAATCCCCAAGTTTGACACTTCTTGTAGAAAAATTTCCAAACTTTTCAATTTTTTTTGCGTTTTCATCCCTATTTTCATGTTTCATTGCGGAAAACATCCATTTCACCAATTTGAAACGTAGGGATATTTTTCATACTATAGACCAAACGTAGGAATGTTTTGTGCTATTAGGCCTTTCAATAATTATTTGGTCTCACTTGCACTTTTTAAAACATTTAGAAGGAAGATTGTAATTTATTCTTTACTTTACTTTTCTTTATTTTTGGGTTATATTTAAATAGGAAGGTATTTTGGTCATTTTACATTAAAAATGGTGAAAATAACGTTTTCCGCAAAGAAAGTGGAAATAAGGGCAAAAATGTCAAAAAATGAAAGGTGTGGATGTTTTCCACAATAAAATTAAAGGTATGGGCGTTTTGTGCCAATTACCCTTTAAATCAATGTGGAACTCGGGTATGCAATTCAAGTTAACAAGTCTTCATAAAGTATCATAATTAACATGTCCTAGTCTACCATGCCACAAATTGGAAGACTAAAGCAAATAAGCAAAAGAGTTTACTTTATTCATTTTCGATTTAACAACCATTATATTGAGTTTAAACATACCATCGGAAACATATCCTTTTCCAACAAAGATTCCATTTTTTGACAAAATAACTTTGTCTGACTCAAATACAATGCGAAAGTCATGCTTATTCAAAAGCGAATCGGACACTAGGATCTTGTGAATTTTCGGCACATATAGCACATTGTTGAGAGTCAGCTTTTTTCCCGAGGTCATCTTCAAAACCACCTTTCCTTATCCATTGATTTCAAAAGTTGCTGAATTTTCCATGAACAACTTCTCCCCATTCTTAATTGCCTCAAACATAGCAAACAACTCCTTATCAGAACACACATGCCTCGTAGCATCGGTGCCAATCCACCACTCCTTAGAGTTTGAACCCACCATGTTCACTTCAGAAATGACAGCTGAGAGATTCAGCTCCGACACATCTTGTGCCATGTAGTCAACCACATTTGCTTCTTTCTTATTCTTTGGCAATCTGCACTCCGAATACTCGTGGTCCACTTTGTCACAATTGAAACATTTTCCTTGAATTTTTTTTTTAAATTCCACATTTCGGTCCTTACTTGGTCCTTTTGCCGCAGGATGACCCAGACTTGTTTTTGTAGTTCTTACTACTTTGACTATGCTCCACAACATTAGCTTTAGCAACACCAGGATTGAACCACTTCTTTTCAGAACTCTTGTTGTCTTCTTCAATTCAAAGTCTAATAATTAATTTTTCGACGTTCATCTCCTTTCGCTTGTGCTTCAGATAATTCTTGAAATCTTTTCATGCGGGGGGCAATTTTTCAATAATTGCAGCCACTTGAAAAGTTTCACTCAATATCATTCCTTTGGCATGAATTTCGTAAAGAATCACTTGGAGTTCTTGCACTTGACTGATAACTGTTTTGAAGTCCACCATTTTATAATCTAAGAATCTGCCGACAATGAACTTTTTAGTCCCGGCATTCTCAGTTTTATATTTTCGGTCTAAAGACTCCCACAGTTCCTTAGTAGTTTTCATAGTACTATACACATTGCATAGCGTGTCTGCTAAACTGTTCATAATATAATTTCGGCACAAAAAATCCGAATGGTTCCAAGCATCAAGTGCACTGATTGCTTGAACATTTCTTTCACCCTCATTGAGTTTTGGAGCAGTCTCAGTCAAGAATCTCGCAAGATTCAAAGTGGTCAGACAAAATACCATTTTCTGCTGCCACCTTTTGAAATTCAAGCCATTGAATTTCTCCGATTTTTCTCTATGATTAATCGGAACATTAACGGTATGACCAGTTGTTGGAGCCACTGTTTGACTCACAATATGACGTGGCAATTTAACCACAATCTGAGCTACAACAGAGCTTGGCCCTTGAGCTACAGCTGAGCCCATAGCCTGATTTCAGTAGGCACAGTTTGGGGAACATCCATGTTGGTCGATTCGGTTGCCATTTCTGAAAATCTAACAAAAAAAATTATTTTCTAAAATTAACAGTATAAAAAACAATTTTTTTTTTCAAAAAATATGTTTTAAGTTTGTTGGAATATAGTGGTTCTAATGAAACCGGATTATCGCATATCTTATATGTAGTTTAGATACCGATTTTAAACATACCGTATATACAGCTTACCGTATTTGCAGGAAACTTATCGTATTTGACAGCTCACCGTATATGACAGTGCAGCTCACCGTTAATGCTAGGTCATTGTATTTGGTAGTGAAGCTTACTGTATATGTGTAAAATTAGCACACACTATTTTTATTAAAATAATATATATATATATATATATATATATTTATTTATTTCTAACATAAATATAAAAACAATTAAACTACAAAATATATTAATCTACTAAATCAATCGCCCTATTTATGTTCCTGATGAGAGGTTTGGTTTCTGACTCAGTTCGATACACCACTACTAATGTGCTTTGGGCGATTTGCCGACAACTAGAGATGTGGAGACCTACGATAGCGTGCTTAAAAAGGCACACATTGCATGATCACAACAATCTCAAGAAAGTCTGCCCGGCAATGGTGAAGCATTCAATAGCGGAGCTAGAACTCAAATTCTAATTCTAGAACTTAATGAAGTAGAAAAGAAGCTCAGGGTTCGGAATTTTGAATTATTTTGAAATATGGGATTAGTCGAAAGATTGAGTAAACCAATGCAAAATTGGGTCCATCTTCTTTACGCACATTTGAAAAGAAAAAGTGAACAAGAAGATCCTCAAAATCTTCAGCGGTGGAAGCACTCAATCGCTAGTTTGACTTTCAAAGTTGAATCGCCAATTATCTCCCCCATGCCCGGTATCCAAGTTCATTCGCTTAGTATATACAAGGTTCTTACTATTCTTTTTAACTATTCATAAATTTGTCAAACGAAGGCTAAGTCATTGAACTTCAATTTAAGTTCAAATTTCACCACCGTATATGGTTGAATAGTTTACTATTGGAAGAAACATTAAGGCTCGAGTTGATTTTTCGTAAACCCGATACATGGTTGAAAAGATTTTGAAAAATATTTTCTCACCTGACCAGTTTCATGGGAAGAGAATCAATGCATAGAAAGCTCTTATTTTTCAATTAAATCTTCGGCTATCTCAACTAGGGTTTTTGTTATATCAAAGAATACTTGGAGAAAATTACGAAAAATTGGCAGTGCCCTGATTTGCTGTTTTTGAGGTTATTTTCAGTTTTATAAAGCACTCCAAACGTGTTTGATATGTTATTTTAAAAAATAAGAAAAATTTTACAACATAAACTCAAAATGACTTTTTGACGTTTTGAGTGTTCTCGTTAAAAACACTCAAAAAACTCAAAACAAGGAAAATGAACTTAAAATTTTCTCAAATTAAAATAATTAATTTAATCACACAAAATCTACGCAAATACAATATTAAATTTTTTCATCACATATTAGCATAAAATTGATGTCTTACTAAATAATCAAATTAATTAAAAAAAGTTATAAAATTATTTCTACATTTTTAAAACCAAATGCATTTTCTTGTTTCTTGTTTTGAGAAACAATTTTTAAAAATGACAAACCAAACGCGTTTTCTACAATCTTAAAATAGTCTTTCAAAATAGTAAACAGAAAATGAATTCCAAATTGAAAAATAAAAATAGAAGCGCAAACTAGTCGCACTCTGAATGTTTACTCTACATTATTATCGGTTCATTATCTCAAAATTTTGTGATTTTCTTAGAAGCGTACCATCATTTGCCATTAAAGACATCTAAAAATTGAATAAAGAATAAAAAAATCACTATGCAAGAGCAATTTTGGACATGAAAAACAGTACGGATTTCGATCTTATATGCCTTGTACCAATGAACTGTCTGTGTGGCAGACTAGAAATTAGAAAGCGGTAATTCTAGTTCAAGAAATCCTCACTTTTAAAAAGAAGTCCCAACATCATCGTGGGGTTGAATCATTTGCCTTTTCTATCTTCAAATCTTCTCGTTTTATTGTCACAATTTAAGTGCCTAGTTTTTTAAGATTTTGATGATGTCTCCACATGACGACTTTTGGTTGTCATACCAAGATGGATCCGAATGTCCGATCTCAAGCATTGACTTTTCAGAGAGATAAGTTTCTTTAACTACTTTGAAGTAGACCCCGATATGATCCAAGATAGTTTGTTCAAATCAGATACAAATAATTGCTATACTTAAAAATGGTTTTAGGACATTTTCATCATGCACCATCCATGTATCCTTCTTTTACATAATTTCATATGGAAAAGGCTTAAGGAAATCGAGTAAAGTTTATAGGAAACTGAGAGGTCGAGAGATGTTGATAGGTTGAATATTAAACATAAACCACTTTCTTCAACCCATTCACAAAGCTTTTTCTATCATCAATCAATTAAAATCCTCAGGCATGAATTAATACATGACCAAATTCAATAGTGATCCAATACATACAAACAATTATATCTCCATTAATTTTAAAATAGGAAATTAAAAAGAAAATTGATTTGTATTTGCATGTGCATGGAAGGAAGCAAGGAAGTTGTTGAGACAACTATTGTAGACGCACGGTCGTTCTAGGTGAACCAAATGACCTGCTTTCTCTATGCCTTCAACTGTAGCTTTGTCCCCAAGCTGTCTGTCTCATGTACAACAAATATCGAGTAAAATTTCACATCGCTTAAAACAAAACTTCAAGTAGTCGGAATCTAAAATTGATATTTACGAACGACTTCATTTTTATTTTTTTTGAGTAAAAAAATAAAAAAGGTTTGATTTATTTATCCGATGTCAACGTTTATGTTGTTTTTTGAACTAAAAATATAAATTATGTGACACTGTTGTAAAACTTGAATTGAATTGAAAATAAGCTTAGTCATGAAGTCCATTAAAACTTACTCTTTCATTTTCTGTGCAAGTTCCAGCTTGAAAATCTGATCATTCCCACCCCAAAGAAGATGTATCCTCTGTAAAGAAACTCAAAATTTTGGTGAAAAATAATTAATAATTAATTACTACTAGTGTTTAACAAAGGTTTTTATGAGATAATAAGTTGGGGGTCCTATGAAATATGTGATCAAAAAGTGATAAAATTTGTGGGTCCCGTGTAAAGGTGAAAATATACCTGGGAAAAATTTGGGATGATTGTGTCTTTGTTGTTAACCACAAGACCTTCCAGCAATTCTCCTCTTTCTTTTCTGTTGTTGAACATCACCTGTCATCAGTACCAAATAAAATTAGGTCAGGCAGATTACTTACCGCACTATACGCGTTTTGAACTGCTTCAAGTAAAAGCTTAAACATAAATGTTAAGAGTATATAACATTCATTTTCTCCGGATTTTATCGACACACCTTCACTTGCATATAATTTATTTGTTCATCAAAAGTCAGACATTATATAATTAGAGACTTGGTTTTTATACCCTCAGTAAATTTTGTCATGGACATCCCAAAACAGATGGTCCTATTAGGACCGGCCGGCCCACAAGATGAACCGGCACGGACAAATGGCAGTTCATAACTGCCCGTGCAGGAAAAATTTCAACGAAGCCTGGCTTGGTTGATCTGTTGAGTGAAGATGACAGCCTAGCCGGGTCCAAATTATTAAGTCACTCGAGTCAGTATTTCATAGTGGGCAACCTACCTATTAAACAAAGTTGTTCAACAACTTTAACAATAAATATTTTATAATGGCTACCTTTACACAAATACTCGACTCATTTCATTTATAGCTTAAACGATAGATATATCGAACATTTATTTCAAAAGTTTAAGCTAAAAGTAGAAAAAATGTATATATTTGCTCATAATTATATTTTCAATCTGCCCCATTTGCGTAATACAAATTAAGTTTTTTTCCTTAATCAAAGACTATATACTTTTTACGATCGGATTGTGGTGAAATTTCCGTGCATACAATTTTACATAGATATCTTTCGTGATCAAACCTATTATGTCCAATTAAATCAATGGACCCTTTAGATGCCCACAACGTAGGCATTCAATTGTCTTCAGTTGATGGATTTGGCGAACGTCTTTCTCAGGTAATCAATTGTTCGAACTCGAAAATCTTGTTCACTATACTGTTGAGTACCATGTATCAAACATGCACTATAAATTATGCAGAAATGCAAATTTACTTTATCTGATATTTGTATCAACCTCATTTTTTCCAGTTCCCAGCATTCGATGGCCATGATTTGCAAAGCATTGTTCAGATGGGTTTTGGCCAGGATCCTGTCAAAGAGAATGCATTTCATTCAGGTAACTTTCAAGGTAAAGACAAGAAAGATTTGGAAAAAAGTATCAGCAGAATAAATATTGTTTAGGATTATCAGAAAATGTTTTTCCTGTGTTTTAAAACTTGTCACTCATAAGTACTTGTTTTATGCAGTTACAAATCAAACATCCCAAACGAAAGTTGAGCTGTGATCACCACTCGTTTATGCTCTACTGGTGCCCGAAAGGAGAAACAGGCTGCTGTAAATACAAAAAGAACTTAGTACAAGATGTTCAATGAAATGCTAATTCGAGAAAATTATTTTTTCCGTCTTAGTTTCATCCTTTGCATTTTATTTCGATATTGTAGTGATGAATTCATGTTTCCAATTTTTTATGGTGTGCTTTTACAATTAGCCACTGTATAATCCTAGAAGGATAGGCCTATTTCTGGTGCAAAGTCTTAACAGCGCCATATATGTACTGATCTTATGTAATGTAAGTTATTCTTAGTGGAAATGAGAACTGATCTTTCCATGGTCGTTCTTTGTTTAGCAGTCGACATCGCACTTATTGGCATGTTTGATGGTTTAAACTAAACAGGATTAAAGAAGAAAATATATTGTATAATAATGTCTAGTCTATCATATCGTTTACGTCAATTCTTGAAGATTCAGTGCAATCTTTCTCAAGATTTTCACGCGGTTGGGCCAATTTCAAGTGTTAAAATTGCGTTTCTGGTGGTTATGGCTTATGATAGTTACTTATGTTGTAACCAGCTGTATAAGTGGGGCTCTTTTCTTTCAAAAGTCTTAATACAAATGATAAATTTGATTAACGTTTGTTTTAGTCTATCATAATTTCAGGCACATTTTGTGGGCACCTTTTAGTTTCACAGATAAACCAGAAACTGAACCTTCTATTCTTATTTTCACCCTGCACTGAACAATCCAAAGGCTGGAACTTTGAACCAGTCATTTACAGCATATGCATACATATTTTTTTATGTATATACATGAACGAAAAAGGAATCCCAGGTTGTCATTGGTGAGATTCTGACTAGACTCAATGAATTTAAGTGCTTTGAAAAATTAAATTTTAAATTTTATATCACATAATATGAACAGAAAAAGGTTAAGTAGTGGAGTAGGGAGCATGAAAAGATGCTCCTAAAAGATTTATGAATCATTTGATGATAGGTGGTTAGTGAAAAATCAAGTTTTTTGGGTGCATTTGCAGCCTTTGATTATTTTAATCAGGGTTCCATTATTGATCTTTATGATCATAGTGGCTTGATTATCTGAAAGATTCTTTGAAAATGATCCTTTGCATAAAAGAGTTAAACTGCATATTATTGTATATTTGAACATGTATAGGTGATGATAGAACTGTCTGGAATAAATATTAAAGAATGTCAATCATGCAATTAAATGTATCTGGCAATTTGTATTTAAAATTTCATGACATTTTTGCCTGTTTAGCGATTGTAGTTCAGTTGTGGAATGTTTCGCACTGGACGGGATTAAAAAATGTTTCATAATTTATTTTTTGTCCAGTAAGGTTTAATACCAATACGAAAAATGGGATTGCCACCTTAGAAATGAAAAAACTCCGACCAACCATCGTCCAAACCGTCGAACCTCATACTGCTGAACCATCTATTGATATTTTAAAACCATGAAGAGAAGCGTTCTGGTGAATATAGGCGATTGGTGTGTGGAAATGACATGGATCTCTTCGGAACGGTTGTGTTGCCTGGGTTTGGGTGATGACATTTTGGAAATAGTATGGAGGTTCAGCGGTTTAGCAATGGTTTCAATTTTAATAAGGTCTAATAGTACAAAACGTCCCTACGTTTGACAATCTTACGAAAAATGTCTCTACGTTTGACAATCTTGCGGAAAACGCCCATACGTTTCGATTTATTTTTTTTGCATTTTCATTCTTCTTTTCATGTTTCATTGCGAAAAACATCATTTTCATCAATTTGAAACGTATGAACGTTTTGCATACTACAGGCCAAACGTAGAGACATTTTGTGCTATAAGGTATTTTAATAATTATTTGGACTCACTTGCACTTTTTAAAACATTTAGGAGTAAGATTACAATTTATTCTTTATTTTTTTCTTTTTTGATTTTATTTAAATAGGAGGGTATTTTGGTCATTTTACATTAAAAATGGTGAAAATAACGTTTTCCGCAAAGAAAGTGGAAATAAGGGCAAAAATGTCAAAAAATGAAAGGTGTGGATGTTTTCCACAATAAAATTAAAGGTATGGGCGTTTTGTGCCAATTACCCTTTAAATCAATGTGGAACTCGGGTATGCAATTCAAGTTAACAAGTCTTCATAAAGTATCATAATTAACATGTCCTAGTCTACCATGCCACAAATTGGAAGACTAAAGCAAATAAGCAAAAGAGTTTACTTTATTCATTTTCGATTTAACAACCATTATATTGAGTTTAAACATACCATCGGAAACATATCCTTTTCCAACAAAGATTCCATTTTTTGACAAAATAACTTTGTCTGACTCAAATACAATGCGAAAGTCATGCTTATTCAAAAGCGAATCGGACACTAGGATCTTGTGAATTTTCGGCACATATAGCACATTGTTGAGAGTCAGCTTTTTTCCCGAGGTCATCTTCAAAACCACCTTTCCTTATCCATTGATTTCAAAAGTTGCTGAATTTTCCATGAACAACTTCTCCCCATTCTTAATTGCCTCAAACATAGCAAACAACTCCTTATCAGAACACACATGCCTCGTAGCATCGGTGCCAATCCACCACTCCTTAGAGTTTGAACCCACCATGTTCACTTCAGAAATGACAGCTGAGAGATTCAGCTCCGACACATCTTGTGCCATGTAGTCAACCACATTTGCTTCTTTCTTATTCTTTGGCAATCTGCACTCCGAATACTCGTGGTCCACTTTGTCACAATTGAAACATTTTCCTTGAATTTTTTTTTTAAATTCCACATTTCGGTCCTTACTTGGTCCTTTTGCCGCAGGATGACCCAGACTTGTTTTTGTAGTTCTTACTACTTTGACTATGCTCCACAACATTAGCTTTAGCAACACCAGGATTGAACCACTTCTTTTCAGAACTCTTGTTGTCTTCTTCAATTCAAAGTCTAATAATTAATTTTTCGACGTTCATCTCCTTTCGCTTGTGCTTCAGATAATTCTTGAAATCTTTTCATGCGGGGGGCAATTTTTCAATAATTGCAGCCACTTGAAAAGTTTCACTCAATATCATTCCTTTGGCATGAATTTCGTAAAGAATCACTTGGAGTTCTTGCACTTGACTGATAACTGTTTTGAAGTCCACCATTTTATAATCTAAGAATCTGCCGACAATGAACTTTTTAGTCCCGGCATTCTCAGTTTTATATTTTCGGTCTAAAGACTCCCACAGTTCCTTAGTAGTTTTCATAGTACTATACACATTGCATAGCGTGTCTGCTAAACTGTTCATAATATAATTTCGGCACAAAAAATCCGAATGGTTCCAAGCATCAAGTGCACTGATTGCTTGAACATTTCTTTCACCCTCATTGAGTTTTGGAGCAGTCTCAGTCAAGAATCTCGCAAGATTCAAAGTGGTCAGACAAAATACCATTTTCTGCTGCCACCTTTTGAAATTCAAGCCATTGAATTTCTCCGATTTTTCTCTATGATTAATCGGAACATTAACGGTATGACCAGTTGTTGGAGCCACTGTTTGACTCACAATATGACGTGGCAATTTAACCACAATCTGAGCTACAACAGAGCTTGGCCCTTGAGCTACAGCTGAGCCCATAGCCTGATTTCAGTAGGCACAGTTTGGGGAACATCCATGTTGGTCGATTCGGTTGCCATTTCTGAAAATCTAACAAAAAAAATTATTTTCTAAAATTAACAGTATAAAAAACAATTTTTTTTTTCAAAAAATATGTTTTAAGTTTGTTGGAATATAGTGGTTCTAATGAAACCGGATTATCGCATATCTTATATGTAGTTTAGATACCGATTTTAAACATACCGTATATACAGCTTACCGTATTTGCAGGAAACTTATCGTATTTGACAGCTCACCGTATATGACAGTGCAGCTCACCGTTAATGCTAGGTCATTGTATTTGGTAGTGAAGCTTACTGTATATGTGTAAAATTAGCACACACTATTTTTATTAAAATAATATATATATATATATATATATATTTATTTATTTATTTCTAACATAAATATAAAAACAATTAAACTACAAAATATATTAATCTACTAAATTGCAAACATGTAAATCGTTAAATAAATAAATAACTTGCAAGAATAAATTGTAGATATGTAAATAAAATTTCAACTCGAGGCCCGTGCGAGTACAATTTCCTTAAAACAGATTCGCTCTCTCACCGTAAGTGCTTGAAGTCTAATCTAAACGTCTGTTTCACAGGATACAACGATAAAACCCGTAGAATCTGAGCACCATAGAAACTACTTCGGCGAACTGAGTTTGTATTCGAATAATATCACCACCACGACTAGAGATTATGTATATGCAGACAGAACGAAAATATGCAGTGTGCGAGAAAGAGAGATTATTTTTTTCGTGTGTTTGAATTGCTGGAAAATTGAGATTTAATATAACATAAATTTGTCCAATAACTCCATGGCAATAAACACTGGAACCACTTCATTTTCTGCTGGAGTTTTGACCGTTTTTGGAAACTCAACGGTCAGTTGAAGAAAGCAAAAAATTGCAAAACATGGACACTCCAAATGGGCCAATTTTTGCTCCGTTCGGTACGATATTCGTGCACGCACACAAGTTCAAGGTTCGTAGGCAATTTCGGTCCATGATTTGTACCTCCCTGCACGCACACGTGAAAAGAGCCTCTATACTACACATTATTACACATTTCCATTGTATAACCATATTTAAAGTGGTTAATACTTTCTTCATTTTCCTATGTGAGACTAGTGTTATTTTTTCACGTAAACCACCTTCCAATGGTTATCTTTGAACTCCAATTGCTCATTCATCCATTCATCAATTTTGACAAATAAATATATAGTTTCGATGCTCTCACGGAGGAGAACAAGGATCAACTTTGATCTTCCAAATTGAACCAACGGGTCCCACCGAAAATATTGCCAAAATTGAGTCATTTACTCATTTTTTCCAACATATTTTTCATAAACCCGATACATGGTTGAAAAGATTTTGAAAAATATTTTCTCACCTTACCAGTTTCATGGGAAGATAATCAATGTATAGAAAGCTCTTATTTTTCAATTAAATCTTCGACTATCTCAACTAGGATTTTTGTTGTATCAAAAAATACTTGGAGAAATTTATGAAAAATTGAGAGTGCACTAATTTGCTGTTTTTGAGGTTATTTTTAGTTTTCTGAAACACTCCAAACGTGTTTGATATGTTATTTTAAAAAAATGAATTTTCAAAAATAAGGAAAATTTTACAACATAAACTTAAAATGACTTTTTAACATTTGAGCGTTCTCATTGAAAACACTCAAAAAACTCAAACCAAGGAAAATGAACTTAAATTTTTCTCAAATTAAAATAATTAATTTAATCACACAAAATCTACGCAAATACAATTTTAAATTTTTTCATCACGTATTAGCATAAAATTGATGTCTTACTAAATAATCAAATTAATTAAAAAAAGTTCTAAAATTATTTCTACATTTTTAAAACCAAATGCATTTTCTTGTTTTGAGAAACAATTTTTAAAAATGACAAGCCAAACGCGTTTTCTGCAATTTTAAAATAGTCTTTCAAAATAATAAATAGAAAATGAATTCCAAATTGAAAAATAAAAATAGAAGCGCAAACTAGACGCACTCTGAATGTTTACTCTACATTATTATCGGTTCATTATCTCAAAATTTTGTGATTTTCTTAGAAGCGTACCATCATTTGCCATTAAAGACATCTAAAAATTGAATAAAGAATAAAAAAATCACTATGCAAGAGCAATTTTGGACATGAAAAACAGTACGGATTTCGATCTTATATGCCTTGTACCAATGAACTGTCTGTGTGGCAGACTAGAAATTAGAAAGCGGTAATTCTAGTTCAAGAAATCCTCACTTTTAAAAAGAAGTCCCAACATCATCGTGGGGTTGAATCATTTGCCTTTTCTATCTTCAAATCTTCTCGTTTTATTGTCACAATTTAAGTGCCTAGTTTTTTAAGATTTTGATGATGTCTCCACATGACGACTTTTGGTTGTCATACCAAGATGGATCCGAATGTCCGATCTCAAGCATTGACTTTTCAGAGAGATAAGTTTCTTTAACTACTTTGAAGTAGACCCCGATATGATCCAAGATAGTTTGTTCAAATCAGATACAAATAATTGCTATACTTCAAAATGGTTTTAGGACATTTTCATCATGCACCATCCATGTATCCTTCTTTTACATAATTTCATATGGAAAAGGCTTAAGGAAATCGAGGGAAGTTTATAGGAAACTGAGAGGTCGAGAGATGTTGATAGGTTGAATATTAAACATAAACCACTTTCTCCAACCCATTCACAAAGCTTTTTCTATCATCAATCAATTAAAATCCTCAGGCATGAATTAATACATGACCAAATTCAATAGTGATCCAATACATACAAACAATTATATCTCCATTAATTTTAAAATAGGAAATTAAAAAGAAAATTGATTTGTATTTGCATGTGCATGGAAGGAAGCAAGGAAGTTGTTGAGACAACTATTGTAGACGCACGGTCGTTCTAGGTGAACCAAATGACCTGCTTTCTCTATGCCTTCAACTGTAGCTTTGTCCCCAAGCTGTCTGTCTCATGTACAACAAATATCGAGTAAAATTTCACATCGCTTAAAACAAAACTTCAAGTAGTCGGAATCTAAAATTGATATTTACGAACGACTTCATTTTTATTTTTTTTGAGTAAAAAAATAAAAAAGGTTTGATTTATTTATCCGATGTCAACGTTTATGTTGTTTTTTGAACTAAAAATATAAATTATGTGACACTGTTGTAAAACTTGAATTGAATTGAAAATAAGCTTAGTCATGAAGTCCATTAAAACTTACTCTTTCATTTTCTGTGCAAGTTCCAGCTTGAAAATCTGATCATTCCCACCCCAAAGAAGATGTATCCTCTGTAAAGAAACTCAAAATTTTGGTGAAAAATAATTAATAATTAATCACTACTAGTGTTTAACAAAGGTTTTTATGAGATAATAAGTTGGGGGTCCTATGAAATATGTGATCAAAAAGTGATAAAATTTGTGGGTCCCGTGTAAAGGTGAAAATATACCTGGGAAAAATTTGGGATGGTAGTGTCTTTGTTGTTAACCACAAGACCTTCCAGCAATTCTCCCCTTTCTTTTCTGTTGTTGAACATCACCTGTCATCAGTACCAAATAAAATTAGGTCAGGCAGATTACTTCCCGCACTATACGCGTTTTGAACTGCTTCAAGTAAAAGCTTAAACATAAATGTTAAGAGTATATAACATTCATTTTCTCCGGATNATTACTTCAGAGGGGACCCAAATGCTCATAACGGTGCCTGGCTCGATCTCTACTGTGTGAGGTCGAATACCGGCCATTTTCATTAAGCCATGCAACAATGGCTTTTGTGCTGCAACGAGGTTCACCATGACCGCGTGTTAATGTGTATTTTGTGGCCTTAGTATTGAGATAGCACTCTGGTCGAATGATAAAAAATCAGGCTATAACAATTGGGTCGTGATTGAGTGATAGATCGATCAATGCTCGATGAACACGACCCTCAACAAAAGGAGTGTCAGTGCTAGGGACATCGAGGGAGAGGGATTTTAAACAAGCAAAAAAGAGGGTAGGTGTTACCGTTGGCTACTTGGATCTACTACTTTGTGACCTTCCATTGTCAATTATAGATTTCTAAATATAGGGTAAATTCTATGTAACTTACTTTCCGTATTATCTTAGAGATAAAAAGTCGTAAATCGTGTCAACTCATGTGCTATTTTTTCAAATGAAATCATATGTTTAAGTGGTCACGGACCTCGCAGGTTTCAAAATTTTCTTTTAATTTTTTTTTTAAATATCGGTTTTGTCAACCTTTTTTTAAAAATGTTGACTAATGAGAAATGAAATTCTTCGAATACTGCTCATCTAATTAACCTAATCTTTAACACCTCATCTATAGTATATTAATACACACCAACTTATATGAGTAATGCTATTTAATATCACTGAAATTAAAATTCCAGTTAAATAACTCATTTAATTCTACATTTTATTTAGCATACCATATAACGTCACCTAAATTGGGGTTGCAACCCCAGTGAGGTTACTTAACATTACTCAATTTATATAGTCTCAGTTTGATTGAGATTAAAGGCTGATTTTTAGTAGATTTTGATAAAAATTGGTGAAATGTGTAATTAAAAGGTTATGGGTCCCATTGCTAACTTTTATTTAAATTAAATTTTTTTTTTTTAATTTCCAACTAGCAGGGACATAATGTCTAATAAATATTGTTTGTTCGTATAACATATATGGGTAATTAGATTGTACAAAACTCAAATGTTAAATTTCCAATTCGGGTACATTTTAGAAATCGAAATTTTTAGAAAATATAGAAGACATTAAAAAATTAAAAAAAAAAAATTATCTAACTTTTTGAGTTTTGAAAAACTCCAAAATTTCTAGAAAACTTTTAACAAAGGATTCAAAAAGATTGCGAAGAAATCATATTTTGTTTGGGCTAAGCTTTGTAGCGAGTTTTTATAACATTTTGTTTCACGCTTTTTTGAAACAAAACATTTTTATATGTCGTGTTTTCCATCTACTTTCATACGACTTAGATTATATCTTTGTAATAAAACGTTTCCTTTTCATGTGGACCAAACGAATCATTATCTAATAGAGAGCGATTTCTTGAACGAAATCTTGTTTTCTTTAATTTATTAATTTTTTTTATTTGTTTCTACTTTCTTTGGTCAGTTCTAGGTTAAGGTTTAGAATAATGAATTATAGTATATAAATATATTTGTACTAAAATATATAGGTGTTAGGATTTTGATCAACCACACTACCTACTTTCGATGGCATTAAAACTGGTGGTAAGTAGTAAATACGAGGATTATATGCAAGTAAATAGGGATTGTAGAAAATCCCCCAAATCCAATATCCGCAAAGTCCCGCCTCAAATGGCACGAGAGAATTATCTGCTTAATCGAGTATTCAGGTCAGGTACGGATAACAAATCCGCCCTACCCCATTTATTATTATTATTATTATTATTATTATTATTTATAATTCAATACTTTAAATGAAAAATTCCACGAAATTTCATTAGTTCTAATAGAAGATGGCAATTAAGATTATGTAATGAGTTTGACAAACAATAAAAATCTTAGTTTACTAAATATATTTAAATAATTTAACTTTAAAAATTAAAAAATATTACTATCTCGCTTTAATGAATGTTGGCAATAAAATGAATTATTAAAAACTAAAAAAAACTTTAAAAAAATAAAGTAAATGGCTAGTAAATAGGGGCAAGGGCTCCAACTCACCTTAGAAGGGTAACGGGCGAGAAATTACCCAGTGGCGAGGGTAGGTAAGGCTGCCCCAACCTCGACCCACCTCTTTGCCATCTCTACAAGTAAATACCGCTCTCCCACTCTAGTATATATTTTACTATAGACTTAAAAATTAAAATTTATTTTAAAGTATTTTTCAAAATTTCTCAACGTCATGTAATACCATTTCTTTTTCACATAATAAAAATCAAATACATTATTTATATAAACTCTGATATGAACTAGAACTTGTTGACCTCAAAAATGGATTGATACTTTTGAAAGTCAACGGTAGAGTTTTATATCCGAATTTTGACAAGATTTTCTTCTTTTTGCGGGCTTAATTTTGGTACGTTTACAAGTTAAATTTTGTTTTAGAGAGATGTTTCTACATTCTTTTGCCAGAATTGCTTCTTGATCGGAGATTTCTTCCAACTTTTGAGGGGTTTGACATTGAATATTCTTTCAGTCAGGTACTTTTACGAGGGAGACGATCTTTCAATCTTTAAATTTCCTCGAATGAAAGTTTCAATCCACTTTTCATTGTGAAATGGTTTACGTATAAGCGATTTATGAGGGTATTTTATTCACCTCTATCAGAAATTGTGTTCTGTATTATTTCTTTATGTTCTGGTTTACAATGATTCAATACAAAAATACATAGGCAAAATGTTGAATCCATTGTACAGATTTTATGGCTAAATGGCCTCCAATCTCTCTTGATTTCACTCTAATTGACAACTCACTCTAACATTCCCCCTCAAGTTGATGCATAGAGATCTCTAATGCGCAACTTGTCAAGTGAGTTGTGAAAATCCTTATTCGAGACAGCCTTGGTAAGAATGTCTGCTAGCTGTTCTCAGATTTTACAAATGGAAATTTGATGATCTTGGCTTTCAGGTTCTCTTTGATAAAATGTCTGTCCACTTCCACATACTTAGTTCTATTGTGTTGAACCGGGTTATGAGATATGTCAATGTCAACTTTATTATCACAAAAAAGATTCATCTCTTAAGTAGGAGCAAAACTAATCTCTGTTAGTAACTGTTTGAGCCAAAGTAGCTCCCATAGTCCTTGAGAGTGCTACCATTTTTTGTTGTTTGCTCCTTCATGTAACTAGATTTTCACCAACAAATGTGAAATACCCCCAAGTAGACTTCCTATACGAGAGATTTCTTCCCCAATCTGCATCCGTATAGCCGTCAATCCTCAAGTTATGGTTTTTTGAAAACATGATCCCCTTCCCAGGGGTACCCTTCAAGTATCGTAATATACGAATTACAGCATCCATATGATCCTTGTTGGGCAGTGCATAAACTGACTAACTATGCTTACAGCATAAGCAATGTCAGGTCGAGTATGTGAGAGATAAAATAGCTTGCCAACTAGTTTTTGACATCTCCCCTTATCTGTTGGTACTTGGTCCGGATATTCACTTAGTTTGTGGTTTTGTATCATTGGAGTGTCTGCAAGCTTACATTCTAGCATTCCTACTTCAAAAAGCAAATCTAGAATATATTTCCTTTGTGAGAGTAATATTGTCACGTTTAGACCTGGCTACCTCTATTCCCAGGAAATATTTTAGTCCTCCCAGGTTTTTCGTCTCGAATTCAATTGCTAATCGCTTTTGAAATTGAAACATTTCTTCTGTATCATCCCCTGTAATTATCATATCACCAACATAAACTATCAAAGCTATTATCTTGCCCATTCGATGCTTCAGAAAGAGAGTGTGGCCTGAATTACTCTGTTGGTAGCCATACTTCTTCATCGCCAAGCTAAATCTCCGAAACCATGCATTAGGCAACTGTTTCAATCCATAGAGAGTTCTCTGTATCTTACACATCACTTGTGTATTTGAAGAAGCGATATAGCCCGATGGAACCTCCATGTAGACTTCTTCCTCTAGATCGCCGTTGAGAAAAGCATTTTTTACATCGAATTGCTGTAATGGCCAGTCTAAATTTGCTGCAAGTGATAATAAAACTTTTGACTGCGTTAAGCTTGGCTACCAATGAGAATGTTTTTTGATAATCTACTCCATATGTTTGTGTGTACCCCTTTGCCACCAGCTTGAGGAGTAGTGACTTCTCTACGCCGATAGACTATGGTTCACAGCCCGACTGCTGAGGCCTTTCAAGCTTTATACTGTTCAGCAGTTTCGTCTGCCTTGTATTTGATGGAAAATACCCATTTACATCGCACTATTTTTGCTCCTTTTGGTGGCGGAACTAAGGTCCATGTCTTATTCTTTTGCAATGCCTCCATTTCCTCCTCTATTGCCGGAGCCCACTTTGAATTTGCTAAGGCTTCTTTGATGCTAGTTGGAATGTGATGGGAGGAGACTTCATGCACAAAGGTCTTGAGAGGCTCAGATAGGTTCTTTGTTGACACGTAATTTGCAATTGGGTATCTCGACCTTCGTTCTTTGACCTCTGGTGAGTATTTGTCAGGTAGTTTGACTCGATTATGCCTGAAAGGTAAGTTATAACCAGCAGAGACATCCACGTTATCATTTGGAGTTATAATATTAGAACTTACCTCAAGAATATTCTCAAGAGATAGGTCTTCGGATACTGAAGAGTGGGGAGAGTGAGGTCCTTCAATTTCTGTTTCCGAAGCTTCAATTTCCTTTCTGCCTCTATTTCTATTCCCAGTGTTAAGTTCTCCAATCTTGGAGTACCTATAGCTTCATCTCTTGAAATTGTACTCGTATTACCATGTGACTCTGAGTTGGTTGCATTTTCACGAGAATCGGAGTTCACCCAATCCCATTTTAACCAATTCATTGCTTCATCTTGTGTCTCTCCCTGATGTGATGAATTGGGTGAATAAAAATTTTTCGATTCCACAAAAGTGACATCCATAGTGATATAGATTAATTGAGTTGTAGGATCAAAGTATCGGTATCGCTTTTGTTGAGAAGCATATCCCGAAAATAGACACCGTAGTGCACAAAGATCAAGTTTGGTTCTTTGATTCTTGTGAAGATGAACATATGCAACACACCCGAACACCTGAGGTGGAAGCATCAAAGTAGTAGGGAATGGAGTAAATTTGGATAGGGCCTGTAGAGGAGTCTTAAGATCTAAGACTTTAGAGGGCATACGGTTTAGGAGATAAACAACAGTGGTAACAGCAGTAGCGCAATGTCGTTTAGGTACATGAGCTACGAGTAAAAGCGCCCTTGTGGTCTCAAAAATGTGTTTATTCTTTCGCTCAGCAACTCCACTTTGCTGAGGAGTTTGTGGACAAGAAGACTCATGGATAATGCCACATTGTTGCAAATATGATTATAATTTGTGGTTAACATATTCCCCACAATTATCAAATCTTAGAATCTAAATTTTTCTAGAAAGTTGAGTCTGAATCATAACTTGAAAGGACTGGAATACTTCTCGCAATTCATCTTTAGTCTTGAGAAAATATAAGCATGTCATACGAGTACAATCATCCACAAAAGTCACAAACTAGTGAATTTCAGACACATTAGAAACTAGGAAAGGACCCCACAAATCAGAATGTATCTCTTATTCAAACTCAGTGAATAGGAAGCTTGATGACTTTTAGCCAGAATGCAAGACTCACATTTAAAATCAACCTTTGAAGATTGGAGAATAACTTGGGAACTAAATGTCTCATGTAGCTAAATGATGGGTGTCCCAATCGACGAAGCCAAAGTAAAATCTGCTGCTCTTTATTACTAGTGAGAGGATGTGTGGAATGTGCCCGGCCTATGCTAAAGTCTTCCATATAGTAGAGTCCTTCCCTTTTAGTCTCCCGCCCAATGATCTCATTGGTGAGAATATCCTGTATAAGATAAAAATTCGGATAAAATAATACCGTACAATTTAGATCAACGATAATCTGGCTCATAGATAGCAGCTTATACGAACGAGAAGGCACAAGTAGAGCATTATGCAGTTGAAGAGAAAGAGATAAGTTTATTGTGCTTGCTCCTGTAATTGGAGATGTCACGCCATTGGCATAGACAATGTTGGAGTGTTGTGGTAAAGATGTTTGAGTGAAGTCTGTGGCAGTAAGAGTCATATTGTCGGCGGCTCCAGAGTTAAATAACCACGCACCACTCTCAACATCTTCGTGGGTACTATAGAGGGAAGTACCAAAATTACTAGGAGAGTAAATTTAATCAATGCTCACCCATTTTTGCCTAATATTTCTATTTGCTCACCGAACAATAAATGATAATATATTGATCACCCATCTATACAATTCCTTACCCATTCATCACCCATTTAACTTCCGTCACCTTCCACTAATAGAACGTGGCACGTGGCGGACAGAAATCCGATGTGGCACGTTACATACAAGAAATCAGGCCACATGGCCAATTTTTCAGAAGCACCTCAACCACCTGGAACAATCATCCTCCTCTTCCTCTCTGCCGCCATCTCCATTCTCCTCCCTTTCTCTTTCTCGCACCACCAATGCCACAGCCATCTTCCCCACCCATTCTTCATTCACAAGGCTTAAGTGCTTCTCCTTGTCTTTGATTTCTCTGTTCATTGAGCCTCTGCAAACATCAGAGGCATTTTAACAAGAAATTCAACTTTACCAAGAAATTTTAACATTCGTGCATTGCTTCACCACCAAAGCAGAAACTGTACTAAAACCTCAATCATTTAGAAAACAAATAATAACAATTCTTTCCAATAAACTCACAGAGCTGAAATTTGTAAAGTGGAGAAAAACGTAAACATACCTTTGGAGCTGCTTTACTTTGAAAATGTGAACAAAGAGTAGTGGAAACACAGGAAAATGAAGAACCGATTTTTACTTTAACTGCCATTCTTTTTATCTTCTTTCTACAAGCAAATAAACTGTAGTAGTAAAAGGACTGCATGATTGAGGATATTAAGAAAAACCTATTTGAATTTGGGGAGAATTTGAGGAACCCATTTGAGAAAATTGATGGCAAGTGGGATGGGTGGTGGAGAAATGGTGACATTTCTGAGAATCAGAGGTATATAAAGCAATTTTTGGCGTATTTTTAGTGTTCTTCATGTATTTGGGGTGAATTTGGGTTCTTCACGCTTCACAAATTTGGGGGCGAATTTTGGGGGAAAATTTTGTGGGAAAATTTTGTGATTCTTCACAGCTTTGATGGATTGAAAGTTGTTTCTGGGAGGCAGAGGGGCAATGGGTGATGGAGATGGTGGTGGGAGGATGAGAGAGGGAGGAGATGGCGAAGGCAAAGTGGAGAAGGAGGATGAGTGGTGGTTGCAAAGTTTGGCCACCTTTCAAAAAGACAAAAAAAGGGGGGGAAAAAGCCACATGACCTTAAAAAAATAACTAAATAAAATTGGCCACGTCGGATTTCCGTCCGCCACGTAGCACGTTCCGTTAGTGGAGGATGACGGAAGTTAAATGGGTGATGAATGAGTAAGAAATTGGATAGATGGGTGAGCAACGAATTATCATTTATTGTTTGGTGAGCCAGTAGAAATATTAGACAAAGATGGGTGAGCATTGATTAAATTACTAGGAAGGGTAGCCATTTCTTGCAAAGATACAATAAACTGTTAAAAAGACCAAGCAGAATAGTAAGCCCAAATATCAGGTCCAAATAGCTTTAATACAAAAGAAGATTACCAGCCCATAATCAAATCTCAAATCTAGTCGCGATACTTGCAGTTGAGCCACCAAAAATATAAAAGGAAAAATTGGAATACTCACAACCAGAAGATGCCGAAATCTGGACAAAAAAGGGACATCGGAATTTGCCAATTAAACCATGATAGTCTGATTTCCACCCACACAAGAAAACAACCAGATCTGCCAATAATTGCTTTGTCTCAGCACAACAATAATTGCCGGCAGCTGAAGAAAAGGTAATATAATTCTTTGACGGCCAAGAATCCTTCCAACACGTGTGGTGATCTGGATGAAGGTGGTCGTGCTTGTTTCAATGGAAAGTCCTATATCCACTAAATAAAAAATCAAGATCTTGTCTGTTGTCAAGGATCCAACCCGTTCCAGAAAATCGATTGCTTTGATCTCTTCTTTCCCTCACAGTTTTGTATGTTCCGTTGAGAATTTTCATACTTACAAGCTTCGGTTATGCAGGAATAATCAAGTGCTTGACAATCCACCGGAATTGGAATTGGCATAGTGAATTTTCTATTAACTCAGCGATTTGGAATCTATGAAATACAAGATATTGAATTGTAAAAAATTCGGGTTACCGAGGATGAAATTTGGCATAAAGAAGAAATGCATCATTTTGGCTCTGATACCATGTCAGAAATTGTGTTCTGTATTATTTCTTTATGTTCTGATTTACAATGATTTAATACAAAAATATATAGGCAAAATGTTGAATCTATTCTCGACTGTACAGATTTTATGGCTAAATGGCCTCCAATCTCCCTTGATTTCTTCTAATTGACAACTCACTTCAACAACCTCGCGAGTTGACATCAATAATTATATTTTAAGTCATGTTTAAGTCACATTTACGAAGCTTATATCTATATATATTTTATGATTTTGTCTAGAATTTCATTGTTTGATATAAGGGTTTAGTGCATTGAAATTCATGTTGATTTCGTCAGAATTTGTAGCAAGGGTTTTGTCCTTGTCCGAGGTCATCAATGCAATTAATTCGAGGCCTCCAATCACATATCTAGTCAAGTGTTAGAATTTTGTGCATTCCTTTTCTTAGGGTCTACTGAGCCTCCTCAACAGTCGAGACACAAACGTTCGAAGACACGCGGGCACGTGATGGGGCCTTTTGTGGCTAACGTGACATTCGTGTGCACCATAATTATTTCCATTCATGTGCACCATAATTATTTCCACATGTAGCACTAGTCTCCAAAGTCCGAATTTCATATTTATATAAAATGAAGGTTTTTTTTTTTTTTTTAATATATTTCTTTTCGTCTGTTACTAAAATATTTTGAACTGAAGTTTCACCCATTGCACTTCTTCTCTTGCTTCTCTCAAAAATTATAATGAACGGAGATTGAAGCATAATGGATCAGCTTCTATTAGTTTTGAGGCATCTTCACCAAAGGGAATCTGAAGTTTGGATGGTTTAGTGGTTTTTCAATTGGATATACTCTTTCAATACCCGAGAATTTAGTTAGAGATATTCTTTCAATTCCTAAGCTTCTCTATATTAAAGATATTCTTTAAATCCACGAGTGATCCGACCCCAAATATTCTTTCAATTTGAGATATTTTTCTATGATGGATTTTCTTTCAATTCCATGAGAGTTTGGACCCATATATTCTTTTAATTCGAGGTCTTTTACGATGGATGTTCTTTCAATGTCATGGTAGATTGATTTCTCGTTTATTCCAGGACATTCTTGTTAGAAGGAACTTGAAGCTTACCTTTATGTCGGAAGGAATCTGCCTGGGAAATTTGAGCTAGAGCGAATTTGAGTCTTTAAGAATTCACTTCTCTTTTGTTTAGAGGCATTTTAGCAGGAAAGAATCCGAAGCTTAGATACATTTGATCGATCAAAGACATTCCTTCAATCCCTATGATGTTTTTGATTGTAAATATATCATTTCATTTAGGGGCGAATCCACCATTGTAGTTCAACTAGGACGAAGAGATTGACCACTGACCCGTGATCGTTGACCAATCAACGATAGTAAATATAATTCAATACATATGTAAATGCACTAAAATATAAAAAGCATATACATATGAAAATATAATTCAATACAACTCAAAATACCAAAAAAAAAAAATAAATAAATAAAAAATTGTACGATACTATAAACGTAGACAACAGCATTCTACGGGGTCTCTTAATTTCCTAACCCTAAATTCCCAAATCACAAATCAAATATCATGAATGATAAATTATAACTCATAACTCATACAACACAAATTATTTATCATAAATCACAAATCACAATTCTCAATCATTCATCATATAGGGACCTCACCTCAATGCCAAAAAAAATTAAAATGAAGACAAAAGTGTCGATTAACCTCAAGAATCAAGATCGGCAGTAATTTTCCCAGTTAACATAATCTGTATGAAAATCAAACATAAATTAAACTTAATCTTAAAGACTTAAACTATCATCAATTTCCAACACAAATTGAACATTTCTCCCAAATCATAAAATTCCCAATTCACATATTTACAAAATTTACAAATTCCCCAAATTTCATAAATCATAATCATCACATTTAACATAACAATCAAATTAAATCATCAAAATCAAAAAGAAAAAAATAAAATAAAAGCCAGAATAGCTCACCAAGGCAAGAAGTCGCACTCATAGCCATCGGCGTCCACTCAACTCGCACGATCGCACCACTCCATCGTCCACCTCCTTGTCGCTCACTGCTCACCGGTCACCGACTCACCATCCACTCGCACCACTCTGCCAGGCACCAGTCTAGCACAAGCCATGTAAGAAATGGCAGCAAATGCACCTTTCTTTGTCATGGTGGGGCTTTTCTTGCCACCTTTGGCGGCGGCGATGGAATCATAAACTGGAAGTAGAGGATTCTTGGAGGATTCTATATTGTTGCCAATCGCCCCAATCGCCTTTCACTCTTTCAGCTTTCACAATTTCACGATTTGGGGGAAAATGAAATTTGGAGTTGAAGAGAAAATTAAATTATATTGATTATGATTTATGGACCAAGACAATTCATTGGGTAACTGATTTGGGCCTACGATGTTTAAGCAAAAAGAGGCACATTGTGAAGAAAATCAGCCCAACAACAAAGTAAAAAAAAGGCCCAAGTGCAGTGGTGAATTTTCCTCCGGTTTTCCTCCATCCTCGTCCATGCTGCGTCTGCAACTCCATTCCCGGTGGTCTGAACATTCCAACGGATCCAGCTAGGGCGGCCGCTCTAGCTCGCCACTACCTGGGTCCTCCACTGATTTCATTCCACAAAAAATTTGATTCCAAATATTCTTTCAATCCAAGGCCTTGATATTATTTATCGGTACAAGATATTCTTTCATTCTCAGATTCGTTCTCGACTGGAGATAATTATAATGGAACATTTGTACTAAGAGTTGGATATTGAAAATGATGAATGTAACATTTGTTGATTCAAACTTGGGTCCATAATAATATTGTGAGAGGCACAATTATTGTAATTATTTTTTATTTTTTATTTTTTGATGTGTCATTTCTCCTTACAATAAAAATAAACCTAATTATATTGAGTTCATTCTCATTTTCTTGACACGTAAAACAAGCAAAGACATATTATGATTTGTTTATATTAGTGTCTCCTTGTTTTGATCTCCTTTCTTCTTTTATTCAAGCAGTAACTTATGAGAGGAAACACAAAACTTAATGTGGTATTGAATTTAAATGAGATTATTTCTCTTTGAATTCGATCATTAAATTGACAAATTGCAAGCCAATTAAATTTTCCGATTGCGGTAATTTGGGTTAAACTTGGTCTAGTTTAAAGTCTTGGTTGTCCAAGACTAGATGTCTATGTTCTTCATTTTAGGTTAGGCCACTTCCCCGTGTCAAGTTTGGATAAAACTTGTACGCGGGATAGTTTCTAAAGGAGGTATGTGATTCAGTTCAAGCATATCGATGCACGCAAAAGAACAACAGATGGACATAAGGCAAAGTTCATGGACTGCAACTTAGCATGAAGCTAATGTCCTTGACGAACAATGGGAACGAGGAAAGAGTTTGACTCGTCATGAGTTTAATAGCTAATGACAACAATTTCGTGTGTATAGATAGAGGACCTTAGCAGTTGAGTTTTGAGAAGTTGTGTGACGTAGAACTTGTTTAAGGAATTAGGATGTTTCCCGCCAAGGGAGGCAATAATCGAAATACGTTTGATTAGGAAATGTAGGGGGCTAAAGGTGAAAATGTCAACAAGGCTTTGTCATAATTTTAGTATAATGTGGGTGCAATATCCCAAGGATCATATATTAGTTGGGGCTGAAACTTTTGTGGACTTGATATTAAAGATGCTAGCTTCTCCACGAAGTATACAGGGCATCATTGGAAAGTCAGGAACATCAATTATAAATATTAAGATTTCTCAGCCAAAAGACCTCTGTTAGCGTCACTTCAATTTTTCTTGCTAAATTCATTATAAGGGCGTATGTTGAATAATTCTATTTGTATACCCAAAGGTGTATCGAAATGTTTACCCCCTCTCACATGTAAGCAGAACCTGTGTGAGTAAAAAAAATCCAAAATGTGGTTCCCACCCTTATTGTCAGTAATCGGTAAGGGATTGGATAAAAAAATTCGGTACATGTAACATGGTCCCGGGTATGATGAGCAGTCAACCAACTTTCCCAACCTGTGAATTATCCTTATACACTAAATTTGCAATTTAGGAGGGCGTAGGGACAACTAACGGTCTACTATTAAGAATCTATGGAGGGCTAAGATACTTGTACGGGTTGAACACATACATCAAGCAGTGTTAGGCCTTCATTGGGCACCAGCGGAGCCTGAGGTTAACGATAGAGTATTGCTATGCTCCGAGTGCTACATTAAGGATACAATAGTACCTCAAGTCAAATGAGCTATCAAGAAAAGAACTCTAAAAGCCTCTTATGCTAACTCGTGTATTAGCTGTGTGTTCTAGCCTACCGCAGGGTCGTTGGCTAGAAATGCAGCAGCAGGATGCTGCTATTGTGATAATGAATATTCTACAAAAGAACTATTAATATTTAGCCATGTATTAACGGATGATCCTACTTGGGATATGCACTAACAAGGTCATGGGCCAAGCATTAAGCTACAATGCTAGTAGTAAGTGACGAGCACAAGGATCATAGTGGGACATGCAAATGACCTTCGATGCTTAGGATAGAGCTAGGATATCTTATTTCTAGTGAGTATTCTTCAAGAGGACCATATGTTGTACATGAGCATGTGGACAAAGCTTGAAGATGTGCATTGAGAATAGACGAGTGTATTGATACGAAGTTGATGCAGGAGGATTCGAGTCCACTGACGTTGATATGTCAAATAGCTCGTTGGTGGCGCTGAGATACTATAAGATGACGGATCGACGCAAAGATGGAAAATAAATGTAATATTTCTTTAATTGGGGCAATTTTAGCACGTTTTTGGTAATTTGGCCATTACTTTGGCTACGGTTATCAGAATTGCTATTATGACCCTAATCCACCTGGCTATGCTCGGTGAACGTCAATTTCGAACCCAAAATCCTCTGTTTTCCTTTCCGAAATTCAATTTTTAGTTTTTTTTTCTATTTATGGTAATGTTTCATTTTCTTTTTTCTAGACGTTAGAGAATCCGGATTGAACCAAATTTTTGGCAACTTACTTCTTTTATTTCATATTTTATTTTGGTGTGATCATTAGGATTTTGCCATTTTTGGTAATTTTTCGATAATTTTGTATTTTTACAACTTTTTAACCCGACTTGTGGGTTAATTTTCGTCATTCTACATTGATAATTAAATTAAGTTAATTTCAAAGATTTTTTTTGTGATCTAAGGCATTTTCTTTCGTATTCTCTTGTGAATCATCTGTTGAAGTTAGCCTGCAAGATAATCGTTATCCTGCCTGACGTCGCAAGTGTAATATGGAAATGCATTCGAATGTTAACACGCTATTAAAATTTGTGGATGGAATACTCAATGAGTCATCTAGACTAGTAATAGAAATTGACGGAAAGTAATTGAACCGAGTGAAACTATGGTCACACGTTTGTGAAACATAATCCCAGTAAGAGACTTAAAGTCAAGATTAGTGTATGATCAATGTATTTCCTAGGCATCAATTGTTGCCATATCAGATCTTAAAGTCTAGATTTTAATTTAAGTTAAAGTCAACAATTAATTTTAACTACATATTTAATGTGATCGACAAATTTTCTACGACACATTTTATCATCTTTTTTCAAAATCTACTAAAAATCGAATTTTAATTCCAACTAAACGGGAGCTAAATTAGTAATACTTAATTATTTTGATAAGAAATTAACAACTTATGGTGCAATTTCATTAAAACGGGCTATTAGGTTGAAGTAAATCTCCAGCGCAAGACCATGTTTGCTTTTCTTTCTTTTGTTGAATTAAAGAAATTTGAGATTTACTCTCAATTTTGTGCGATAACTCAGTATTCTTTGTGAACCAACGGACTTAGCTAAAATTTGGGTATAAGCTACCATCTTACGTTCATCCACCAGCTCGGACAAAAAAGAAAGAAGAGGCAAAACAAAAAATAACACCGAAAGAAGAGAATGATTAACTAATGAACCGCCAGTTACAAGCCTGAGTTCAGAATAAAAATAATAATAAAATTAGATCAGCAATGTACCAGTTATGCAATTTTAGTGCTCAAGAATTCCAAAATAAGCAAGTTTACAAAGAAAAAGAAGGTATGAAATGGACAAATGAGCAAAAGTAGTAGTGTTTATAGACCAACGACTGATCAAAGAGAGGGGAAAAAGCGAAAGCTCAAGAAAAGTAAATTAACAAACATAGAATCAACTCATTTTCACTCCATCATATGCAAAATAAACCAACCAAAAAAAATAAAAAAAACAGCTGAAAGAAAAGAATAAAATAAGCCATCGCTATCAGTCTATCACCACCATCAACATCAACATCAAAATCAAATGGGGGCTTTTCACTTTCTTAATTTCGAGCACGTTTAATATGCAATATTGGATAGTACTGATTCATTTGAATCGAGTCGAGTAGTGAAGATTTTTCTTCTCTTTTTTCTATCTTGTGAAGTCATGAAAGAGGCTGGAGCTGTCTGTCACGTTGCAACGCCAAGAGAGGAAAGAGTCACTGTCATCATCTTCAACGAAATTGAATTCATTACTGTATGATGAAGAAAAGCAAGGCGTTCTCTGGGTTTGTGAGTTGTGATGAATCCGGGAACCGTCCGTAACTCGGTGTTCCCCGCCGCCATTATTGGAGGCTGCCGTCGCTCTTCTCTCTTCTTTCTTGAAACGAATCCCACAAGCATTGCAAAGTGACTGCATAATTCATAGCCATTAGTCTCCACTCTTCGGTCTTAACAGGACAGTTTAACTAATAAAGAAAAGAACGCTAATTCTTGAAAATGAACAAACCTTAGGTCCTCTTGGACCGTTTCTCCAGAGGGGAGTAGAAGTGGTGTCACAATTCGCACATCGCCGTGCCAAGAGTGGGTCGCCGCCGGAATTGGCGTTGCTGTTACTGCCACCACGGTGGTTTCTGTTGGCTGAGGAAGATGGCGCCGCCATATTCCAGCCGAAGTTAGAGCGTCGCTTTTCATTCTCATTACTGCCACGAGTGGAAGGCGTGCCTAGAGAAAGAGTGCAATCGACAGAAGACGAAGAGGATGAATACATATCCCCAGAATACGAATACGAATGCGAATACATATCCATATCCCCTCCTTCATCAAAACCATAAGAATTTGGCGTTGAAAAAGAATCGTTTTGACTGTGAAACAAGCCACAAGAACATGAACCCACATTACATCTGTGCATCATATTGAAGAATTCTCAACTTTTTCCGATAGAAAATGTTGTTGAAAGATAAGAAAATGAGTGAGGAATAAGTAATGCAAAGATGTCACTCAGTAAACTGTGAGTTGAGAGTGATGGATATGAAATAATATAAGGTTTGAATGAGGAAGATAGAATAGAGAGGCTTGAGTGTAAGAGAGAGGGTGTGCGATCTATTTATGGAGGTCTGTTAGCTTTATAAAGGTCATAAAAAATGGCGAAATACCAGTCAGCACCTGCACTCCATGTTGTCGTCAAATGACAATATTTTTATTGCAATTATACAGTGGCGTTAAGAGGGTTAAATGGGTAAAGTCGAATTGCTCACATCATCCAACGTTAGGTGATCCAATCATATAGTTTCATATGTTTTGACTCAGAAAAATTAAATCCATATAATTCGAGAAAACTACGAATTACACAATTCTATAATTCCTTCTCGTAGCAAAAATATATATATTTTAAAGGTAGAATTTAAATTATTATAAAATAACTAAAGCAGTGTTCAGATCATGCAATTTGTGACAAAGATCAAACAATGCAGCTAGCTAGAAAAAATAATTTTTATGCGTCGAAAAATATTTTACTGAAAATGTTTTTTTATTACAACACAAATTAGGGATATAACAATAACAGAGAATTTTCAGCCCTGAAAAAAATTTTGAGATAACAAATTTGGCAGCGGAAGCCTCGAGCTTTTGGCGATCATGCCGCTCGGAGGCGACCATCCACAGGCTCTGGGCATCCGCCTCCGACTCACACCAATATATCGGTGTTTATGTGCCTGTCAATGTATTCTTCATTTTTTACACATTTTTTTTTTTTTAAATTTAGCTATGTAACTAAAAATATGGAGTGATGTGATTCTAATGGATGGTTGTAACTCTAGATAACATATTTCACCTTCTATAAATACTCAATGATAAACCTATCGTTTGCATTATTTTCTTACAAAATATTACTTATACTTTGTCATTCTGGAGAGATAAAATATAGACATCGAGTACAGAGATTATAAATCTTTGTTATTCATGTTGTCTTTGTAGATGAACAATGCACGCAACATAATGACTTGATTGTATTCTAGAGGCATTCTAAGTGCATCGCTGAATTGGTGAGGGGAAAAAGTGTCTTAAGAAAATCAGAAACATGTGTCCTGAAGAAGAGTCTTCTTTGTTTGAGGTTGTTCTAGAATCTACAATTTTCAACTTCTTTACTTTTTTTTTGAACGGTTTTGAAGACTATCACAATGCGACTTGGTGATATCTCATATAGAAGACTAGAAATTTAAAATGAACACCAGAATTGGTCCCCGAATTGCACTTTACACGTTTCGTACCAAAATTTTAAGATTTATGAGTTCAGTAAAAGCTCTATCGTGAATAAAGAATCTAGTAATAGAACGTTTGTTTTTTTGATTTGTAATTAAAAAAATCCTAAATATAAAGTACTATATAGAAGTAATAGAAGATCCAAAATTTGTTGGTAACAGCAAGAAACACAAAAAAGTGAAAGAGATAAAGGTATAATTCGAATGGGATACTTCCAATCATCAAAGCAACGTATGTTCTTCATGGTTTGCACAAATCTTTGACTCAAACTTGACAGCTTAGAAAAGAAAAGCTAGACCTGCCTGGTACCTATGTACCTTAAAATTTCAAAAATCAATAACTAGAAAACTATAAATAAAATTCCTTGGAAAAACACCAAAGAGGCCCCACATTGATGATCTGCCCGAACAAACACCTCTGGATTACCGATCGATTCGATCAAAAGATTCAAAGCAGCAAAAACAAGAGAGAGAAAGAAGAGAGAGAATAATATCGTCTTGAGATTGATGTCAATTGTTGGACAAATGGGAAGACCACCGTTTCTCAAAAGATGCCCTCTATTCTCATTGTGAACTCCAATAAAAACTTTGATGAACAATGTTACATTTCTTCACATTTCCCGGCGCAATAAGTAATTCGTCACACATTTTCAATATGCAGTAGTATTTATGATAAGTGAATAATCTACTATACTTTTAGACTTCATTTCAATATAACGACAACAATCTTCTATTCATGGTGGGTAAGAATTATTTTGCTCATCGTTAATGTGACGATGTCAAGTCACTAATCAAACTTACAATTTTTGATAATTCAACGTTGAATTGTCAAAAATTGTACATCTACGTCAACGTTGGCATGTATTATTCTACCCATATAGGTAGGAGATCGTCTTTATAAAATATAAAATGCTATTGATCAATAATGGTGATGAAAAATAATTTATGTATCGGTTAGGTCATTGTTACATACGATCGAATTTTCGAATGTGATATAAGTATATGATAATAGATCATATTCATCACAATGATATAAAAGTGAGAATAGGTAACCAATTTTAAATTCGGTTTTGATTATATGAAATTAAAAAATTTAGAACCCCTAAAAAATAATTCATAATCAACCGATTTACCCCTTTAAAATTTACTTTTTTTAACTATTAGGGCGATCTTGATCTGACTTGTTGATCGGTCACTTTTTTTTTTTATGTCAATAGCATCTTTAAATATGATATAATATAATATTTTAGTTTTGTTTATATTCAATATGTTCAAATTGGTCTTATATGATTCAAAATTTATCTCTATCAGCTTAAAAAAGAATCAAGTTATTTGAACAGGGAAAATTAACAGGGTTGGGTGATAGGTGCTACATGTCTGACTATTCTTTTTCTAACTATCAAATGAAAAAATGACACGTTATTCCTGTTTAAAATTCTTTCATCGAACCTATTCACGTATCAGGGTTGGTATAAAAAAAAAAGATAAAATGTGCAGTCCAACCTCTATGGGGACATGGGTCGACAGCGGGAAGATTTTTGTCTTTTGACGCAATTATCTATAAGAATTTCTAGTATATAATATACTAATGTGATCTGTTTATACCCTTTTTAATCACTCTGGGATTTGCTTAATCATGCAAACCCCACGAGTATAAACATTGGAATTAGACAGATGGATACATTATGTAATGATAGGTGTTATGTGGCCCATTAGATTTAGTGGGACCCACTGTAGACCAAATTCTTTACCCAAGAAAAGGACTAATCATTACCATTAATCGATGTGCCACGTGGACTTCAATTACTTCGCATGCATGCAAGCAACCTAATTTTTAAGAATAATGTTATTTACCATCCTTTTTATAATAATGCATTTTGAATAGTGTATTGATAAAAAATGTATGATTAAAAAATAAAGAAAAATTTTGAATTTATGTTTAATATTATTTTATTGAAAAATATGTGATTAAAATTATATCAAAACACTGTTTTAGAATGTATTTTTTTTCAAAATAATGGGGCTCAAATAGGGGTTGAATATCGTTTAAGTTTTATATCATAGATCTTATTAAATGAGCCATAATTGTTTTGTATTTAATGTAATTTATAATTTAATGTCGCTAATACTATTACCTAAGTTTTTAAATACTGTTAAATAGTGTTACTCAGTTTTTAAACACAAATACATAATAGATATAGGGAACAAAAGTGAAATTAAGTACAAGTCACCAACTCCTAAAAAAACATTCCTCAAAAGCAACAAGATCCAACGAATAACGTATGAATCTCCAGTTTCCCACTTCTTACTTTCTCTTTCTAGGAGATCTGAAGAAAGAGACTGTGTTTGGGATTGGTCTAATGTATTTGTTGACAGGATCGACTTTAATTTGCCATCTATTGTTAAGGTAGAATAATGATATTCGTCAGATCGATGAATAGGTATTTATGTAACAGTAGAATTACTGACATATTATCTTACAGATAAATTAATATCTCAACTTCATTAGATAATGTGTTTCAGTTATTCATTATCACTGCGAATAAATAGCATTACTTGTTAAAGTATTATTTTAAGGACAGGGTGAGTGGTAAGATTTGGCAGTAGGGGGTGGCAAATGGTTCGAACTGCTCGTCAACTTGGCTCGTCATAGCTCAAACAATGTATGGCTAAGGTTTGTTTTTAGACAAGCTATGGATCGAGTCGAACTTAATTTTTTTACGAGCCTACTCATTTTTTAGCTTGTTTTAATAAAATTTTTAAAATACAAGCTTACTCTCGTGGTATGAATTGGTTCGATCCATGAAGCTCACGAGCCAAATGATCAAGCCGAACTTGATGTCCAATGATCGAATCGTGTCATTGTCACCCCTATTTGGGGGTGATTTTGACCCGATATACTTTTCCATGTAATGTTCGAGAAGTGTTGAATAAGGGTAGGGATGGGGGAGTTGCGGAGGAAAAGTAAGAAGTTAAGCAAAATAGATTGATTTGAGGCGAGAAAGAGGAAACCCTATGAAGTATTCCTATGGAAAAGATTTAGTCATAGTCAACATCATATGATGACATAAAGATGGAAGTGTAATCCCGAATTGTCCCCTATAAAGAGGTCCAAGTCTTGTGACCAAAGGAAACTAGTGGAACTTTTGCTCTTTCTTTTTCTTTTGAGTTACCAGATACAGAATCTATTCTTTCATTTTTCTTACTTTTTTTAGTAATTAGCTTGGCAAGCTAGCCTAGTGATGTTGTCAATCAAATCAGAAGGATTATAAAGTAGTCCAAAACTTCTCGTCTACGATTGGCTCAATGGACAGACTTGAGAATTTTTGTGGGTTGAACCAAGCCCGGCCACTCCACCACATTTTCTCGATCAACTGTCAACGTATAAGATTAACTCATAGAACTTTGTTTAATATCCGATTCCATGTTACATTGTAACATTTAAATTTTAATTATCCTCTATTGAGGGCCATATGTTTCTCTATATATATGAAGGAGACATAAAAATGAAATTCTACACTAAAAAAAAGAAAAGTTTCCATCAGCCCAGCCATTCTTGCATATACTATCGAGGGTAATAAAATCGCAAAAATAATATAAACGCACGAACACACATGTTTTACAGATTTAGCTCGATGTGAACTATGTTCTCGTTCTTCACAATAGTAATTCATTATGATAAAAAAAAAATTCACAAAAAAAGAAAAAGAAAAAAGAACTCACCTATTTTTTTCTTACCCATCTCTCTCTCTAATGATAATATTAAAAAATGTAATGACGACTCCCTATTTATAATAAAAAATTAAGACAAAATCGCGTACGGA